TGGTGACCAAACCTTTTAATGCACTGTTGGATCCTATTGGCTAGTATTTTGCTGAGAATTTTTACATCCGTGTTTATCAGGGATATTGGTCTGTGCTTCTTTTTGATGGGGTCTTTGTCTGGTTTTGGGATCAAGGGTAATGTTGGCCTAAAAAAATGAGTTTGGAAGTTTTCCTTACATTTCTATTTTTTTGGATCAGTTTCGGGAGAATAGGTATTAATTCTTCTTTAAAAGTTTGGTAGAATCCCCTGGGAAGCCGTCTGGCCCTGGGCTCTTGTTTGTTGGGAGATTTTTTATTACAGCTTCAATTTCCTTACTGGTTATGGGTCTGTTTAGGTTTTCTGTTTCTGCCTAACTCAATTTTGGTAGTTTATATGTTCCTAGGAATGCATTCATTTCTTCCAGATTGTCTATAGTTGCTCATAATAAGTTTTGTTATTGTTTGTATTTCTTTGGTGTTGGTTGTGATCTCTCCTCTTTCATTCAAGATTTTAGTTTTTTGGGTCCTTTATTCTTTTTGATAAGTCTGGCTAGGGGTTTATCCATCTTATTAATTATTTCAAAGAATCAGCTCTTAGTTTTGTCGATCATTCTGCTGTTCTTTTGGTTTCTGTCTCGTTGATTTCTGCTCTGATCTTTATGATTTCTCTTCTCCTGCTGAGTTTAGTTTTTTTTGCTCTTCTTTCTCTAGCTCCTTTAGGTTTAGGGTTAGGTTGTATATTTGAGACCTTTCTTGTTTCTTGAGAAAGGCTTGTATTGCTATATACTTTCCTCTTAGAACCGCTTTGGCTGGATCCCAAAGAGTTTGAACAGTTCTGTTTTCATTTTCATTTGTTTCCATGAATTTTTTCAATTCTTTTTTAATTTCCTGGTTGACCCATTCATTCTTTAGTAGGATACTCGTTAGCATCCATTTATTTGAATACTTTCCAATTTTCCCCTTGTGATCAAGTTCAAGTTTCAAAGCATTGTGGTCTGAAAATATGCAGGGAATGATCCCAGTCTTTTGGTACTGGTTGAGACTTGATTTGTGACCCAGGATGTGATCTATTCTAGAGAATGTTCCATGTGCACTCGAGAAGAATGTGTATTCTGTTACTTTGGGATGGAATGTTCTGAATATATCTGTGATGTCCATCTGGTCCAGTGTGTCATTTAAAGCCTTTATTTCCTTGTTGATCTTTTGCTTGGATGATCTGTCCATTTCAGTGAGGAGGGTGTTAAAGTCCCCTACTATTACTGTGTTATTGTCTATGTGTTTCTTTGATTTTGTTATTAATTGCCTTATATAATTGGCTGCTCCCATACTGGCATTAATATTTACAACTGTTAGATCTTCTTGTTGGGTAGACCCTTTTAAGTATGATATAGTGTCCTTCCTCATCTTTTATTATTATAGTCTTTGGCTTAATTAAAATCTAATTGATCTGATATAAGGATTGCCACTCCAGCTTTCTTTTGATGTCCGTTAGCATGGCAAATGGTTTTCTACCGCATCACTTGAAATCTAGAGGTCCAAGTGAGTCTCTTGCAGACAGCATATTGATAGTTCTTGTTTTTTTTTTTAATCCAGTCTGATACCCTATGTCTTTTGATTGGGGCATTTAGCCCATTTACATTCAGGGCAGCTATTGAAAGTTAGGAATTTAGTGCTATTGTATTACCTGTAAGTTGACTATTACTGTATATTGTCTCTGTTCCTTTCTGGTCTATGGTACTTTCAAGCTTTCTCTTTGTTTAGAGGACTACTTTCAATATTTATTGTAGGGCTGGTTTGGTGATCACAAATTCTTTTAGTTTCTATTTGTCCTGGAAGCTTTTTATATCTCTATTTTCAGTGACAGCCTAGCTGGATATAGTATTCTTGGCTGCATATTTTTCTTGTTCAGTACCCTGAATATATCATGCCAGCCCTGTCTGGCCCACCAGGTCTCTAGATTGGTCTGCTGCCAATCTAATGTTTCTACACTTGTAGCTTTACAGACCTTTATCCCAAGCTGCTTTCAGGATTTTCTCTTTGTCTCTGAGATTTGTAAGTTTTACTATTAGATGTCAGGGTGTTGACCTATTTTTTTACTGATTTTGAAGGGAGGTTTCTGTGCCTTCTGGATTTTGATGCCTGTTTCCCTCCCCAAATTAGGGAGGTTCTCTGCTATAATTTGCTCCAGTATACCTTCTGTCCCCCTCTCTTTCTTCTTCTGGGATCCCAATTCTAAAATTGTTTCAGTTTTTCTCTTGAATTCTCCCTTCGTGTTCTCGTAGTTGTTCATTTCTCTTTTCCTTAACTTCTTTATTTTCCATCATTTGGTCTTCTTTATCCTAATTCTCTCTCCTGCCTCATTTATCCTAGAAGTTAGAGCCTCCATTTTTTATTATACCTTATTAATAACCTTTTGGATTCAACTTTGTTAGATTTTATTTCTCCAGAAAGGGATTCTCTAGTTTCTTCTATGCTTTTTTCAAGCCCAGCTAGTATCTTTATAATCATCATTCTGAACTCTAGTTCCAACATCTTACTAAGTCCATGTTGATTAGGTCCCTGGCAGTTGGTACTGCCCCATACTTTTTTTTTTTTTTTTTTTTTTTTAGGTTTTTCCGTTTTGTCATTTTGTCTAGAGAAGAATAGATGATTGAGAAAACAAAATGCTAAAAGGGTAACAGTGACCCCAGAAAAATACACACTTAACAAATAAGAGACCCAAAACTTGGAGGCGGGGGGAGAAAGAAAATGATCAGGCTAGTGAATAGAAGAGTCACACACTAGATTTGATTTGGGATGTATTTTGGTCTGTTAGAAGAAACTGCCTCCCAAATTTAAAAGAAAAAAAAATGTATGTGTGTGTATACATGTATATGTGTGTGTGTATATATACACACACATAGATAAACAAAAATAAGGGTAAATACAATAAAGGGATGGAATATGACTATAAAAATGAAAACTAGAAAAGATTTTAAAAAAAGAATTGGTAAGATAAAAAGTTGGTTGAAAAAAGAAAGGGAAAATTTAGTAATAAAAAAAGAGAATGTGATTAGACAGGTGAATAGAACAAAGCCATACACTAGACTTAGTGTATATTTTGGTCTGTTAGAAGAAAGAGTATCCCAAAATTTTAAAGAAAGAAGGACTTAATGTAAAAAAAATAAGGTTAAATACAGTGAAGGGATAGAATATGATTTCCAGAAAGTGGTCGCTTTTCTGTTCATAATTGCTGCTGTTGTTTTCTTTGATCTCCTGTTGAGTTCGTAGGTGCTTAGAATTGTTTGATAACTCTCTAGCTAAATTCCTGGGACCAGATGAAATCTAGGTCTCTAACTCCTCCACCATCTTGCTAGCCCTCCCCTCATTTCATGTTCTTATATTCTCACCTGAAATGAAAATTTTCATAATATTTAGCACTAAAATATAAATTTTTATTAGCCACCCCTTCTAAAAATAGTCACCAACTGAGGGAGTAACAGAGTACGAAGAGAATGTAGGTTTTGATGTTACGTGATCTTTGGGAGAAAAGTATAAATCTTTGTTGGCAGTTGTATCTAATGTGATATTTGTTTTGGAGATCCTCCTGTAGTGTAGTGTACTAGTTAGTCCACCTCTACCAATAGACTGTAAGAGAACATTGGGGATCTTAATAATTATCTTGTTCGCTGCGGTACCCCCAGAGCCTGAAACAGTGCCAAACACGTTCTCGATACTAATTAACTCTTCTGTTTATGATTTACTTATTTTTAGAGCATGCATACTCCAATGGTGGGGAGTGGCAGAGGTAGAGGGAGAGAGGATCTTAGAGCAGGCTCCACACCCAGTGCAGAGCCTGACCTGGGGCAGGATCTTATGACCTGAGCTGAAATCAAGAGTCAGATGCTTAACTGACTGAGCCTCGCAGGTGCCCCAGTACTCAGTAACTTGTAAGGAATCAATGTGTGAATGAACTTTAAAGACACTTAGAAATCAAATTGATCTTAGAATTTTATAGATGTTGTTGTATATATACATATATACACACACGCACACACACACACAGCACACATATATTTATGGGTAGTTTTGATTTGGGGAGTACCATGAAGTACCTAAAGTTACACACAAGTGGAGTGTACATGTATATTTCTCAGCTTATTAAGTATCCTTTGTTTTAGTTTCAGAAACATCTTTTAGTCCATAGACCATTTGGAACCACTGATATGGAATAGTGGATAGACTGCAAGGTCTTCAAATGGTTTTAACATAAAACATGACCTATTTTATTATGTCTTTAGTAGGACTTTTATTTTTGGTGAGGCTTTGGAATCAAGGCAGATAACTAATTTTTTGATTAAAATGTATCAGTTTACTTTAAGGTGAGAGTAACAGAAAAAGTTAATCAAATCCATGAGTGTTTTATAGAATATAGATGTTGATAGTGACAAAATATTTAGGTAGATTAAGTGGTATTATGAATAAATTAGGAGAGGCTCATTGTAGGTAAGCCTGTGGATTGACTGCATTATTATTTTTATAGCATTGCCTTCTTTGTTCCCAGTTTTGAGTATATTTTCTAAATTGAACCATTTATAATTATCCCAGGTAAAATTACAATCTCCTTAATTTTTGCCAGGTCAGAAGTTTTACTGTTTTGTTTTGTTTTTTTCATTTCTGTTAGTCAGTAATAAAATGATTAAATTATAAGATAATTGTGTTCTTTAGGCATTGGACAATTTCTTTATGAAATTTGCATTTTAATATTTTTACTTATCATTTGTTACTCTGTGACAGTAACAGAAACTGTTCTGTTCAAAAACATTTACCTAATAGTTATCTTAATTGATAATGTAATTTTATTTAATAATAATTGGTGAATATGATTTTCTCTATTCCTTTGGAAGCCTGGCTTTTGAATTTTTAGGAAATATTCAGGTTTACTCAGCTATGTTCTTAAGTTCTTTTTTAAACTTTGTTTTGTGTGGGTTTTTTATGCAAGTGAGGAAAATTAATAAAAACTTTTAAAAATGTCTTTCAGCCAATGGTAATGATAGCAAAAAATTTAAAGGAGAAGATAAAATGGATGGTGCTCCTTCTCGTGTACTTCATATTCGAAAATTACCTGGTGAAGTGACAGAAACTGAAGTTATTGCTTTAGGCTTACCTTTTGGTAAGGTGACCAACATCCTTATGCTGAAAGGAAAAAATCAGGTAATGCTTCTTTCAGCTCCTGTAAAATGTTAAGCCCCAAACTACCCCGTATGAGGGGATTAGCTAATCCTAATAAAAAGATAGAATATGGTAGGTCTTAACTTTTCTAAAAGAACGTAACAGAAGTCTTATTTTGACTTTTCCTGGTAATGCTATTTCAGAAACTAATGCTAGGGAGCCAAAATGAGCCAATGTAGTTTTCACATTTTGCCTTTTGAATTCACTTTTGGATTGTTATAATGAGATTGTGGAAAATACAAATGAAGGATTTCTTTTATTGTGGCTCTACTTTGTAACAACACAAACTAATGGGGGCACTAGTAGCATCTTATCCTTTAAGTTTATCAGATGGAAATATTTATCTGATAGCATTAGAAGAAAATAGTCACTAATCCTAGGTATTCTTCATTGAATAAATGTACCTGTGGCAGAAAGATGCAGGAATATTAAAAATGAGAGTTGGTTTTTAAAATTTCCAGTGATACCATTTTAAAAGAAATTATGAAATTCAACATTCATTTAAATATAATTAATGTCACTAATCTTATATTTCATTTTTAATTTTTTCCCTTTTCTGAGTTATACTGGTTTAAAAATGACTTTGAAATCTCTTTTTGTGTTCTCTAGTATCGGAATGGTAAAATTCTGATACTGAAAAATGTTTGGATTTTATTTTCTCTAGCTTTTGTTTGGTCACATTTGTGGTGTATGGAAAATAAAGATGACTTATTTGGGTGTCTAAATGTAACTGGGAAGGTTATACTCTAGATACTGATTTTTCTCATTAGCTGAATAGATTACACAGATATTGAGGTTTACTTGAATATAATTCATAGTATTCCAATTTTTGCTCTTTATTTTACAGGCATTTTTGGAACTAGCAACAGAGGAAGCAGCTATTACTATGGTTAATTACTATTCTGCTGTGACACCTCATCTCCGTAACCAACCAATTTATATCCAGTACTCCAATCACAAAGAACTAAAAACAGATAATACATTAAACCAAGTGAGTATGTGTAGGTACATAAATAAAACGGACATATTAAGAAACTCAAACTTATAACAGAAAGATGTAATTATGGGTATTATTATTTTTAAGATATTCTCTTACAGTATGTCCCTAAATATTAAATATTATGTTAATTTACAAAAAGTATGTACAGTCTATTATTTTCATGTTTTAAATTGGTACCTGATGAATTAGTTAAATATTTTTTCAAAGCCTTAAGGTTCTGGTCAGAATGTTCATTTTCATGTTGCAAGTTCAGATTTCTATATAGAAACTTTATGAGATTGGGCTCACTATTAACATAAACTTAGAACTCTGCTGCTTAGATTTTTTTTTTTTTTTTTTGGTTAAAGATTTTATTTATTTGACAGAGAGAGATCACAAGTAGGCAGAGAGACAGGCAGAGAGAGGGGAGGGGGGAAGCAGGCTCCCTGCTGAGCAGGGAGTCCGATGCGGGGCTCGATCCCACGACCCTGAGATCACAACCTGAGCTGAAGGCAGAGGCCTTAACCCACTGAGCCACCCAGGCGCCCCTGCTGCTTAGATTTTTAAGATATAATGTTTAATGCCTTTAGTTACATTATAACTTTTTGTAGGACTCAGGTTTCTCATCGAAATATTTTTATTGAAGATCTATTAATGGTTTTCCTTGGGGAGGGAATGTAAGAATTGAGAATATATTGATTTATTTCTTAAAAATGTGATGTAAAAGATACTAATTATTTAAAATCAGTATTTTAAAAAAATAATATAGGAATGGGTTTATACCTAAATACATAGCATCACAGGGATGGTCTAAAAACTAGCTCTTTTAATATAGTTTTTAGCTAATTATATCTTTTCTGTTTCAGTAAGATCTAAACTATGTCTTACTCTTTGTCTTACGGAAAATGTAATGGACTAATAATTCCTCATAGATTTTAACCATCATAAAAAGTGAACTTTCAAGATCATTTTGATAGTTTATATGTAAATAAGCATTTAAAACTTTCTGTCTGAAGATAAGACTAAATTTTCTGCTGTTTTTTTCTTTGTTTTAATTTGGTATTAATTTTTATTACTTTTGAACCAGAAATTGTACTTCTAAAAATTTACATTGGAAATATTCTAAAAGAAAATACTCTGTTTTCATTTTACTTAGAATTTAAAATGGTATTTATATATCAATTTTATTTATTAGTATTTTTAGTAAAGTAATTCATGAAGGCATTCTCATTTTAAAAGCTTCCAATGCAAGGAACATGAAAAGGATAAAGATGAGGCATCTTTATTTATGATCTTAAATAGGATAAACACTGAAAGCCCCATGAAGAAGGGACATTTAAGTAACAAACTTAAAAGTGGTTAGGAAGTAAATGTACTTATTCTGGTCTAGGTTATTCCAGATAGATAAAGGGAACAATCAATGCAAAGTTGCTTCTGTTTGGGGGGGGGGGGGAAGAACGTGGTTTTGCAGTCATATATTTAGTTTTCAGAAGCCCTTTAATCTTTTCTGATCATTTTTTTTATGTTGCAATTGATCATGTTTTATGATTTCACAGTTCTTTAAGGATTTGAATTAACAGTGCTTTATTTGTTTTATTATTTATTTGTTTTAAAAAACATACTTTTTATTTTAAAAATATTTTATTTATTTATTTGAGAGGGAGAAGGCGGAGCGGGGGGTACGTAGAGGGAGATGCAGACTCCCTGCTGAGCAAGGAGCCTGATTCCAAGCTTAATCCTAGGACCCCTGAGATCATGACCTGAGCCACCCAGGTGCCCCTAATTAACACTAAATACTTCACTATGTGTAAATTACTGAATTTCCTTCACTGTTAGCTGTATGTTTATCGTGTATCCATCTGTCTGCCCCTCCTCCCCCAGTAGTCTATTCAGAATTAGGTTTTACTGTTTATACTGGTATGCTTTCCTTCAGATTAAGTAATGAGTTTGGATGCTAAGCTGGGATTCCCCAGAAAGGTCTGGGCCAATAGAACTCTCTTTAGAATTCCTCTTTGTTTAAGGGAGCATTTTGTTATTTTTGTTTTTTAATGGTTAAAGGAGAGAGATGATGGGGGAGGGAAGGAAGAGGAGTTTAATTATTTGTTCATTAGGCTGACTTTACTTTAACCCTTTTATTCCCCCCCACCCCACCCTCTGTAACTCTCCCAGTTTCTCTGATTTATGTGGCTGTCAGTGCAAATCCTGTTTGCTATGTGTTCACTATGTCTTCTGTGTCATTCGTTTCTATTTTGTGTATTCCAGGAATTTGATGAAAGTGTTCTCAGCCAATGATGACATTCTCTCTTTTCAGTATTTGGGTTTATTCCATTTTGTATTGATTTATAGGCATTTTTAATTAAGTTTTTTAAATTCCAGTATAGTTAATATATGGTGTTATACTAGTTTTAGGTGTACAGTATAGTGGTTCAACAATTTTATACATTATTCATTGCTCATCATGATCAGTGTACTCTTTCATCCCCATCACTTCATTTATAGGCATTTTCATGGGCATTCATAATAATGGCAAATGAATATGAGTCAACAATGAATTCTTCCGTGATCATTCATCAGATTACTCTTTTCAGTATACTTTATTTATTTATTTATTTATTTTTAAATATTTTATTTATTTGACACAGAGAGTGATCACAAGTAGGCAGAGAGAGAGGGGAAAGCAGGCTCCCCACTCAGCAGAGAGCCCGATGTGGGCCTCGATCCCAGGACCCTGAGATCATGACCTGAGCTGAAAGCAGAGGCTTAACCCACTGAGCCACCCAGGCGCCCCAGTATACTCTTTTTAAATGTCTGCCTAGTTTTCATCATCTTTCTTGTTACTTGAATAGCTCAAACACACACAGTCACCTCTTGGCTATATTGTTATAATAGCTCTCTTACTGATTTACTTTTTTACTTTCCCCTCTTGAATTCTTTCTCCCTAGTACTTCCCTTCTCTTCCTTCCCTTCCCCCCTTTCTCATTTTCTCTCTCCCTGTCTAACAAATCTGACTTAGGTTACTACCCTGCAGCAGATTCTTTTCATGTTCATGATAAAAGGCCTCAGAAGAGGTGGCTACTATTTCTGTTTTATTGGCTATATATTTGCCTATGCTTCTACCCAAAAGTAATTGTAAACCTCTCATGCTTTCTCTTATTTCCAATCTTATTTCCAACCACTGTGTTTCTGTGATGTTACTTTGCCTGGAATATTATGGCCTGCCTGCTTTTGTACTAGTTTTCCAGCACACACTTCACATGGCCAGTTGCTACACATCTTCACGTCTCACCTTAGTTTCCTACAGAAGGCTATCTTTTGATCCATAAAGAGTGGTTTAGGTTTGCATTAAGAAACTTCAACACAAATTAAAATCACAGTGAGATACTACCATGTACCATCAGATTAATGAGATGAGTGATGCCGAGTGTTGGTAACAAAGCAGAGAAGCTAAAACTTTCGTATATATGTGTGGGAATGTAAGTTCATAGAATCATGTTTAAAAACTTGAAATATGTAGTCAAGTTGAGCATAACCATCTATTCTTTGACTCAGTAAATCTACTCCTAGTTACATACCTGAGAAAACACATTGTATGTACATCAAAAGATCTGTATGAGAAAGTTCATGGAACACTAATGAATAATAGTCCAAAGATAGAAATGATTCATATGTTCAGCAGCAGAATATGCTGTGGCATATTTATTCATTGGAATTTGTTAGAATACAAAAAATGACCAAGCTGCTGGTATCTGCGAAGCATGGATGCACATCATGAAAGTAATATTTACTGAAAGAAGCCAAACCAAAAAAAAAAAAAAAAAAAAAAAAAAAAAAAACAGAAAACAAAAATGCCAAAACTAAGTAGAACACATCATATGTATTCTATGATACAATTTATATAACTGAGAGAAAACATGAATGTAGCTTTTGGAGCTTTGATAATGTTCTGTTTTTTATCTAGTCATTTCATAGATCTGTCCAACTTGTGATGTTTTATTGAGCTTATACACTTCTGATTTGTGTCCTTTTATGTGTGTATGTAATGGTTCACTAAGTTTAATTAAAACTTAGGTTGGCAAGCACTGTTTCATCAACTAAAAAAATACAGAAAGTTATTTGTTAATGGAGAAGCTAATTATTAAGCTATAAAAAGAAGATGGAGAAAAGTGAATAGTATTGGGGAAGAATGTATGGAGTAGACATATACCTGTGTACTTATACAGACTAGATACATATATGCTCGTGTGTGTAGATGGTATCTCTGGAAGGATACCCATGATAATATTGGTGAGGAATGGGTTGGGGAAAGCAGCTAGCGTGATAGGGTTGCAGAGGAAACTTAACCATTTGTACCATTTGGATAGTATATCATGATCATGTGATTCCTATTTTAAAAAGACATTCCATTATTTGAAAGAGGAGATGTTAGTATTTTCCACATTGTGATATTTCTTTGCTTGTAATAACATAAATATATCCAAGGACATGGTTTACTAATGAAAGAAGTAATATTGCAGTACATTACTTAAGATACTTTGAGTCACGTTAGCCAGTATATAAATTTATAGGCCATATTATTTCATTAGCATTTAAATAGTGAGATTTAACCATATAGGCATGTGGTCCTTTGAATTCCAAACTCTGTGATCTCCTGGTTATGTGATATTTCAGTGAACTATTTCTTTTTTGTTTCCAGCTTTATTGAGATATAATGAATATATTGTGTAATTTAAGATATATAATGTGTTGATTTGATACACATATATTGCAGAATGTTTACCGCCATAGCAAATGTGCTGCTAGAGGGAGCACTGACTATTTTTGTTTATTCTTATAAGTGTTGGCCTAATTCTTTCGTGTTCTCCTTCCTTTTCATTTATCAAGGTGTTCAGTTGATATTTCTGTTCATTGGCTAATATAGCTTTTTTAAACTCTAAAGCAATATAACGGTATTTGTCATTGTTACTTAACAATTATTTGCCTTTATGTAGGTTTTTTGACTCCAGATAGAAAAATTATTTTCTTTTTAATGGAATCTGTCACAGTAGTAATACTCTATTCTGTATTTTTTTTCACATATTAAAATCTCATAAATTAAAAAAAAGCTCAGAAATTAAGAGGTGTCTTAACAGTAGTACATCTCTCCTGGTTTAATTTAATAGTATCTTAGAAGTTATGGTAATATGTATTCCTCCTTAAAGATTGTATTAAAAATAATAAGCTTTATAGGAGTTTTTTTGGGTAATCTAGTAATCTTGCTGAGGTTTACCATGTGCCTTTTTTATGGAGTGAATAATGTTAGGTTGAAGTTTTATTCTCTAAAATTTTCTATTTAAAACATTTTCTGATTATGTGAATCGGCCAAACTATATTCTCTTCTTTTGAAAATAAATTACATTGCCTATCTTTGCTTGTTCAGTATAGGTCCCAAACCCTAGATAATTGCTTTGAAGTAAATACTAGTAGAATACTTGAATTATAAACAGGTGGTACCTGGCTCATGGCAGATGCTCAGAAGTATTTATTGAGTGACTATTAAATTTCGTTTACTCTGTATATGTTCTAGAAAAGAAATGAGCTAGTAGTATAACATACAGCAGAGTATAAGTGGGAATACTGAATATGTTTCTAACTTGTTTATCTTTCAATTTTCAGCGTGCTCAAGCAGTTCTTCAAGCTGTGACAGCTGTCCAGACAGCAAATACTCCTCTTAGTGGCACCACAGTTAGTGAGAGTGCAGTGACTCCAGCCCAGAGTCCAGTGCTTAGAATAATTATTGACAATATGTACTACCCTGTAACACTTGATGTTCTTCACCAAGTAAGTTTAACTTAATTTTCATGTTTACCTATAAACTGGAGAAATAATGTACAGTAGATAAATAATACTTTGATTTTAATGTTTTTAACAGATATTTTCTAAGTTTGGTGCTGTATTGAAGATAATCACATTTACAAAAAATAACCAGTTTCAAGCTCTTCTCCAGTATGGTGATCCAGTAAATGCTCAACAAGCAAAACTAGTAAGTCTGGAGCATTTCTTTTTTCTTTTGGATATAGCGATATTTTTCAGTGGCAGATAGACACACACATATATAGCTAACATTAGTAATACTGACATAACTTGGCAATACCTTATAGCATTATAGATGGCACAAATTGGTGTCATTTAGATACTATTAGGAAAGCTTAAATTTGTGATAAAGAAGTGTTTCTTTTTAAGGATAATGATATGTGTAGTTATCTATAATACATATTTTTGTTATTTTGCATGTTTTGTTTGACTTAGGTCCAAAGTTTTAAGCTCTTGAGGATATAGCAGGATTAAATTGTACATGCACACCAGTAAAGATTTTAAATGTTTTCCATTGGGAGTTTCAGAGTAATTAATTTAGCTGTCAAGAGAGTTTAGCTAAAATATATCATCACACATGTGGCTCAGATGTTATGATAGCCTCTCAGAGTATGTAAGACTACAGTATATTTAATATTCTTTTTGAAGATTGTTTTAAAAAGATAGCTTTTTTAAATAGGTTCCTAGTCTACTTCTTATTTACATTCTTTATATTTTTATTGTTATATATGGAGGGTAAGAAACTATTAAAAGAAGTAAAGTATGTTCCCCTATCATGGCCACCCTTGAAAACTACATATCATATCTTTGCTTCTAAATGCCTTAATCTTCTGTTTGTGTATCATATTTAAATCTACCTTCGCTCTAGTTCTTTAACTTCTTGGGTCGTATTATCTCATTGTAATTATTATTCTGTTGTTAAACCATTACATATTCATAATTAAACCATTACATCAACTGTCTTTACTTACCTTCCTTTACCTTCTGTCTTGCCTCTTTTTCTCCCTTTTACTCTTACTTTAAACCAATTATGCTGTGTAATACTTCAGTGCTTCCTCTAGATTAAGATAGATTGTATGGAACTTAGACCATTTTTGATTGTTTCATTGTGTTTCCATCCTCAGAATCTCATTTGGGGAGCAGATATAGCTTCAAGTAGCACAAAGTCTGTACTGTTAATAATTGGCATAATTGAAATGGCTTAGCAAGTGCTGTTCTCTCATTTTTTTCTGATATTTTATGTTGTAAACAGAACAGGAATTTTTCCCGTGTTACAAGGGGAGGCTAATATTTAAAGAGGTAAAAACTTGAACTTAAAGAGGTAAATTATTTGAGATAGACATATTTTCAGCCTGTTTTTCTCCAATATGTTGCTACTTACTGGTTCTTAAGTTACATTACCTAATCTTCTATATTTTCCTTTTCAGGCACACATTAACATTTGGAATTCTTTTTTCCAAAAATAATGATTTCTCTTTGTATGTCCCAGCCCTCCAACTTTGGAGATATTTTATATTTAGAGAGTAGCCAAAATCCATGTGGTATGAGGTTTGGTCAGTAGCAGAGAAAATCTAGAAGCCATGATCTTTATGGCATTTTTTTTCCCACCTTGACAACATATTTAAATATAGTGCATGTTTTCCTTAATGTGGAATATTTTTTATCATCTCTTCTGGTGCAGAGGGAAGAGTATTTGGTAAAAGACTGATGAAATGGAATTTGATTTGAAATTACACTGCATTTGGGCTATAATTCAAGGGGAAAGTAGTTTATGTGTGTGTTTCACCTGAAATAATCTATAATCATGACAAAAGATTATCCTTTAATAATGTTATCAGATATTTGAAGTTTTCATTTAACCAATCTTCTGTGTACAGATAATAAGCATCAGGTCTTTGTGAATATTGAATACACTTACTCAGGTCTTTTCCACAAAGGTGTACAATTGAAATTCTAAGAGAGCAGGTAATTATTTAGTATTAATTATTAATGAACTATTTTGGTATCTTAACTTCATTTCACTATTATTAGAGAAGGAAAAAAGTTTATTTCCCAAACTTGCTTGCCCCATTATATTATAAGCCTGACACCTGACTGTAGTAATCTTTCTTCATGCCTGTATGTTGAGTATACCTAGAGAATATCATATGATCTAGCAATTGTTACTGGTCGAAATTCATCATCATCAACTACAACTAGACTAAGCTCTCTACTTGAAAAAATCTTACCCTATTTCTCCAGTCAGCATGCTGTCCCATTTTTCACAGTGACTGTATCAGAAAATTCTCATTCCACCAAGTCTCTCCTTACTCCCCCTTATGACCTTGCCTCCTGCTTCTTAGGAAAAATAGGTGGACACTCCCATCAGCTTTTCTCACAAAATCTACTTATACCACACCTATCTTTCTCTTCTAATAAAAGACATAGATATTTCTAAGATCAGTAAACCCCATCCTATCCTTTTCTGCCCTCCAAGAGACTTTGCACTGTCATCCGCTCTTTCTCATATTTTTCTCTCTGTTGGCTACTTCTCACCAGTGTTTCAAACATCCTTAAATCTCTCATTGTATGTGAATTTACCCTGAACTCCACATAACTCTCCAGCTATTCCCCTATTCTTCTCTCTTGTCATTTATAGCCAGATTTACTAAATAGGCCCTTTGTTTGCTGTTTATACTTATCTCCTTTTTATTTCTCTACCTCTTGCATATTGGTTTCGACCCCCTTTTACCCAAATTGTTCTTCCTACTGTCACCAGCGATTGCCACAGTCCTAAATCTCAACAGCGTTATTCAATCTTTATTGTCCCCATCCTCAAGGTAACATTTGACTCTGAGCCATTCTCTTAAAATCATCTCTTCTCCTGGTCTCTAACACTTCTCGCTTAGATACTATTCTACCTCTCTGACTATATCTTATCATATCCCTTCCCTTCTGCAGGGGGGACTTCATCTGTTCCCACAGCTGAATTACACCTTTGTGACTCTGACAGTGTCCATGTGGCTCTCTAGCATCAGATCCTTTCTAAGAGACCCAGACTAGGAAATTAGTGGACCATCAGGAACCTTCCAGATTAGTGTGTTCAGTTCAACTCCTGTAACTTACCTTCCCTGGCCACCCCCTCGCCTCGCTCCCTCCCCCCAAAAGAACCCTGCCTTTGTGTTGTTTACTGTGGTAGTAAGTCTCAGGTACCAAATTTGACATCAGTAACAAGCCAGAAAACATGACTTTTATTCCTTTTACTTTCAGTCTATCACCAAATCTTACTGATTCTCATCCTAAATTTCTGTCGCACCTATCCTTTTGTCTCCCAGCTCGCCACCACCCTAGTCTAAGCCAGGTGTTACCCAGAGTGCTGGTCTCTGATGTTACCAGGAGCTTTTGCCAAAATACAAGTCAACATACTTCTAGCTATAATGTGTTTAGTGTGATATTGATACAGATTCTGACATAGACTCCTATATCTTTAGGCCGATAGGTTTCCGCTGCTAGTCCATGAATACAGCTTGAGTAAAGCACCAATCCAAGCTGTCATCTCTTAAATCCTTACTTCAGTGGCCTTCTCACTCAGCTCACAACTTTGACTTCTTCCCCCACTCCTGTTTTCCCAGAGTACTAAGAATGATCTCAACTTAAAGTCCTATAACTTCCATTCTCAGTGCCCTTCAGTGACTGACTTTCGTCCTTAGTATAAAGTGCTGAACTTAACGTGGCTTACAAAACTCTTAATCAGTCCACAGCTTGTTTTGCCTTTTACTATATTGAACTTTTTAAAAATAGCTTTCATGTGCAGCATTTTCTCTGATTTCTCAGGCTTAACAGCTGGATGTTCCATTTGCTTCTACTACTTTCTCTTTGTCTTTTTATGTCCAACTCTTCCAGAGTCTTTCAGGTTTGCAGGTCTCAGAGAGGTCTTCCATAAACTTCAGTCTACATTATATCTCTTCCTTTCTTAGTTCTCACTACCACAAATCAAATTTGTATTTGTTAGATGTCTGTATTTCCAAGTTTTACTGTAAGTCACATAAAAATGGGTACCTTGTCTTTTTTCTCTGCTGTATTCCTAGAACACAACACAATATATGGCACATTGTTGGTATTAGAACTTTCCTCTCATGTCACAACTCTCCCAGAATCTGCTGTGTTACAAATCTCTTCCCATTTTACAGTCATCCTTATATATCTCAGTATGTTACGGAATGAGTTGGTTCTAAACTTTGTAGTTCAGTTGCTACATTTTTATGCTTGTTAAAACAATAGAAGTTATATATAATTATGGGCAAAGAATACAAGTTTAGAAAGAGGATCTCAAGCCTACCTTCTCATCTTTTAGTGACAGTTCCATATGAGTGGGAGATGAAAAATACATCTTAAGCACTGGGAATTCAGTTAGCCGGCAAAGTGTACCTTTAGGTTTTAAGAGAATTTATAGTTTTCTTCTGACTATGGTCTAGAGCCCACCTAGGTTCTTGTCATGTAGATTCCTTGTTAAAAAAAAACAAAAAACATTGGGACTCTTCAGTATCCTGAACTAAGAAATCATAATCTTTGGGGATGGCAGCTCAGTACTCTGTTTTTGAGAGCTCTGGGTACCACTGCTATGTAAAGGCAGCTTGAGTGTTAGAGCCAACGAATTTTTATACACTGGTTAAAAATTTTGGCAGTTATTTTCAATTAATTGGAAAATTTTGCCCCCTAACATTTTGCTTTATACTCAGAAAAAGACTAACAATGGAGGTATTAGTAGTGAGGGTTGGAGGGGAAAATTCAACAATCTCTTGAATTTGTCCTAAGCTTCATGTATATTTCAGTCCCATTTCTAAAAAGGTCATGCAAAAACATATTGGTCTACTATTAAAATCATATAGTTTTAGCTTTACATACCTAATGGATCTTGGTCTGTATAAACAGGCTTAAGTCTATTGATGTATTATCAGAAGAACTGTCATTTTCACAGTGATTTATAGAGGTAAACATATTTTTCATTTCTGAACCATTATTTTATACAGTAAATGTTTATTCTTCTAATAAAAAATTAACAATATATTCCCTTGTTCCTTAGTTTGTTCTAGCCTTCTATCCAGTTGGAATAGAAATGGTGATTATATAGTACCAGGAAAAACTCATAATGATCATAACAGCAGCAATTATAACTCACATTGTATTTTCACATATGTGATCTTTTATTTAATCCTCAAGGTAATCTTGTGAGGACCCTGGCAGCCATTATCTTCTCTGTTTTCCAGATTAAGAAAGATCCTGAGATTCAAAGAGGTTAAGTAACTTGTTCAAGATGACCTGATTTGAGTGTAGGCTTTCAGATCTAGAGCTTGCACTCTTTATTCCTGAGCTTTCCTGGGATAATGTTGCATTTTCTAATTCAACAATCTATTTGGATCCAGGTTGAACACCTCAAGTTAAGGAAATAATAGTGTTTGCATTATTACTATGTATTATAGTGATACTTATTTGGCTTGAGGCACTTTATAAAATGTGACCTCAAACAAAAGTTACGTTATAAAATTACACCAATTCTTCTAAGTACTACCATCCAGCAAAAAATGTGTATGTATAATATTATGCAGGCTGTTATGGTACGACTTTTGGCAGGACTGACTATATTTGTAATCCTTGTTTATTTTTTTAAATTGAATTATTTGCAGATTTTTTTGAATTAAAAGCATTAGCATATATATTTAACTAGTTGTATTTTAGATTTAAGTAGCATTTTCTATTTTAAAAAGATAGTATTTATGGAAACAAATACATGTACAACTGGGATAACAAAGAATAATGTATGATATTTGATCCCTTTCCTGGTGTGTTTTATATGCAGGTCTTCATTGCTGGGTTTTGTTGTCGAAGTCCTGTTTCTTACTAATTTTCATTCCTTAAGACTGCTGATATACTTTATTCACTTTTACAGGCCCTAGATGGTCAGAATATTTATAATGCTTGCTGTACCCTAAGGATTGATTTTTCCAAACTTGTGAATTTGAATGTAAAATACAACAATGATAAAAGTAGGGATTATACTCGACCTGATCTTCCATCTGGGGATGGACAGCCTGCATTGGACCCAGCTATTGCTGCAGCATTTGCCAAGGAGACATCCCTCTTAGGTATGATTTTTATTGTCTATACCACTTTTCTCCCATTTTGCCAAGTGGAAAGGTGCCTGTTAAACTCCAGTAAGTATAATGAATACCCCATTTTGGAATTTAAGAAATTGTGTTAGGTTTTACTTTTTTTTTTTTTTTTAAGATAAGGGGCATTTGAATGCTGTTGGGAGAAAAACCTAAAGTGTTATGAAAATTCTATCAGCTGTATTCCTTTCACCATCCTCATTTTCTTTCCCAAAATAAGAGAAGAAAAGCTCTAATGAAGAGATACTATACTGTAGAGTTGTTATTTCATGTTAAATTTGATGTCACACTGTCTAGGTTCTAAGCCCAGGTTTATAGTCCTTGTGCATATTCTTCAGGGCTAATCTGAATGTTATAATTTAGCACTGCATAGAAACAGTGAAAAGTGAATAGGCAAAACACGTAACGGAAGTAGTCATATGGACTTTTTTCAATATATTATAGCCTGTCTCTTAAAAAGCAATGTAAACTAGGAAGAATTTTCTATAAAATTTATTTTGGCATTTACGTTTTGTCTTATTCATTTATATTTCACCTCATTCTGCGATGGATTTGACTCACTTCACACACAGAAGAAAAACAATGCAAAAATTTGCAACTACTGGTAGATGGAGTCAAGATGAAAAAATAAGGGAAAATGTTATTTTGCAAATAAAATGAGTGAAGTGATCTATAACTTAAGATGAAATTTTACAGTTCTATTTGCTGTGTTTGGGAAATTGATTTCTTATATATGTGTAAGATTATCTTTAAATCAGCATTTCTGTCCATATGGAACTCAAGATTAATGAGTTATAAACTAGTTCTTAGAGTTCAGTTTATGCCCCTCAGAAAAAGAATGATAATGAAGTAATTCTTGCAAGTATATATTTTTTGTAGATATGTAACAGTTGTACTATCCATTATAAATATGTAGTAATGTAAGTGATACTTCCATGAACAGAGACACCTTATGCACAAGAGAAGCAATTGATATTTGAAATTAATTCTGGTAATAGACAAAATTTGCCTTTAATTCTAATTTTCTAATACATCTAGCACAAGCCATAATTGTTTATCATGATTTTGAAGATTCTTTAGGTTAATAACATTCTTTTCTGACAGAATCTCTTATCACTGTGTAGGCTTAGTTTAAACCTTTATTTCTTCAGCTTGGCTTGTTAAGTTGACTGTTTCATAATGTACCATTTTTAAAGGTAAAGTTAAGAGTGAGACAATGTGTGATACAAGGTTATAATTATTACTATAGATTCTTAAATTATTTACTGATAGAAATTATTTTATAGAAGAGAAAAAAAATCTACATTTATTTAATAATTCCCAGGTCCTAGGCATTCTGCTAGACACAACAGTCCTACTGGATTAGATACATTATTTAATCCTTAACACAAAATAGGTAACATCAAGATTTTACATACAGTTTCTGAGAAGTTTAAAAATTCACCTGCAGCTCATTAAACAACTTAAGTATAGAATATCAAGAAATTCCAGTTATCATCAAGCACAGACCATAAGAGTCACTTCCTTGGACTCAAGGAGTTGTGCATTTTGCCCATTTGGGTATAGTTAGACATGTCTGTGTGTGTTTGGATTCTGGGTGGAGTCCTGGTTAGAAGTCACCTGATTCTTCTAGGGAGTTCATCACTGTTTTCCTTGTAACCTCATGGCCCCGGTGAAATTCCTTTTAAGTAATAATGAAATGTCTTGCTCATTAAAGATTATGAGTCTCTGGCATAATTTTATCTTCCTCTATACTTTTATTATTCATTTTTCAGGTGTTCTGCATTTTTTGCATTAAAAGCATATGAGTAAAGTTGCCCACTACTTAACAAATTTGTCTTCGTCTTCTAGCTCTATTTTAAATATTTCAGTATATCTTTATTTCTTCATTCTGTTTGATAAGAAAGATGAAAGTGAAGATATATGTGAATTCACCTTTTTTTTACTAAATGACTTTATTGTTTATATGTTTTAATGGTTTTGCATCTTGTTATAATTTGGTTTTATATTAAGTATCCTTAGATAGTTTTTGAATGTTAGATGAGTTGAAAGTTTCAAAACTCAAATAATAGTATGGACTGTGGTAGTTTTGGTAATTTACAAGAGGTAACAATTTTTTTTCATTTTCTGTGTAAATACATATTTTTGTACAAAATTAAAATCACTGTATGTGCAGTTCTTTATTATGTTTTATTGTAATTATTATTTTACTAAGAATTTAAAAAAAATTTAATATCTGTCTAGCATGCTAGTGGATTTGTAGTACTTTTGAAAGTACCTTTATTGGACATTTAATTTACTTCCATACTTTTTATTAATATATACATAGCATCGTGGCAGACACCCTGTGCATAACATTTTTATCTTTCAGATTATTTCCTGAGACTAGATTTCTAGAGCTAGATTTATTGGATCAAAGAAAATGTTAGAGACTCCTGATTCTTACTGCAAATTTCTTTCTAGAAAGATGATACTAAACTAATATGAATGGTGTATGAGACTGGCTATTCCACTTTTTTGCTTACCAGCATTGGGTATTATTTTTTGGATTTGCTAGGATATTAATTAGATAGGAATAGGAATGTGTCAAATTATTTTAATTTTTATTATTTTATGAGCCAACTTACAATTTTTAAGTGCTTATTAGACATTTTCCAAGTTTCTGAATTGGTTGTCTAGGTTCTTTCTGTTGGGATGTACAGTACATGTAAAGTGTATATTAAGGGTATTCATACTTAGTATAAGCTGAGTCTCCAACTTGATATCACAATATTTAAGACTAGCCAGTTTATAGAAAAATTATTTTTTAATAATTTATCTCAATCTGAAAATATCCATTTATGGAACATGAAGTTAACTTTTTTGCCCCATACATTTGTGGATATTGTCATCTTTATAAGGAACCATCTATGTTTTGCCTTTTAAAGTAGTTTTCAAACACCCTTTATAGTAACATCCAGTATTACCTTAGTGAGGTCATGTCTTCTGGAATGGTAACTAAATCTTCTCTATGCTTAAATTTAAATTTAATTTAAATTTAAATTTAAAAATTAAATTTATTTTATTTATTTTATTTTAATTTATTTTTTAAATTTAAAAATTAAATTTCACTGCCTCCAGTGAAATTTAATAAGTCAGGTGACTTCAGCATACAACTCACTAGTATCGATGGGATCCATTTCCTGCTGAGTCTTCCTCAGACAGTAGTTGTTCAAAATGAAATAATAGATCTCCCTTTGTTTCAAAGATTGTATAAGAACACAAGTTCTTAGGTGATCCTTCTTTTCTGCAAATATTTAGGGGGATTCACTTTACCTTGTGTAATTTTTATATCTAAGAACTTGACTGAATTTGGAATCAATACAATAATACATTTTAATTGGTTTATTTTACACAATAATTTTTTTAAGACTAGCTTTTATACTTAGCTTCTCTTTTTTCTTTTGGTAACTAAGGATTATAGTGTCTCAGAAAATATAATTTTTTCCAGGAAGGAAGATGGAGGGCTTTGTAATTAATTGGAAATCTGACATCTAAATACATAATCACAAACCTGGCAGACTATTAATTATTCACATATTCTACTTCATAGAACAAGATGATAAAAATTCTTGAGATTTATAAATTGAGACATTGTTACTATGATCATTTTATCATGTTTAAGAAGTGTAGTTAATTTATTAAGGGGTGGCTCACTTTTAGAAAAAATTTCTAGAAGTAATTTTTCATGATCATGTTGTCTACCTTTTAAAAATTAGGGAAGATAACATATACAGAGGATACTTATGTTAAAGCTTTCTGTGCATTTTGAGTTGAATAAAGTGGCAGTCAGCCATCTTACGTCCTTAACAGAAAGGCTAAACAAATTTTTTATGAGAAATATTTTGACCTTAAAATAATTGATAATGGAGAAAGTATAATAAAGCTTTGTTCATAAAGGCAAATCTGTAGTTCCATTGAATAGTGTCTCAGGTTTTTCTGCACACTGAAATCACCAGGCCCTACCCTAGACTGAGAATCTTGAATAGAGTCTCCTAGGAGTTTGTAGTTTTTTAAGATCTCAAGATGGTTTTACTATGTAATGTGAATTGATAATTACTGCTATAGAGAAAAGTTTGTAATTTTTAGATCCTAAGTTTTAGCTTTTTAGCAAAGTTAAGGGTGTTCTCAAAAGAAACTTCTTAATAGCTATTGAACAGTATTTTATACTTACACATTTATTCATGCCAAATAAATATATCTTGGTATAATTGTTCTGATTGTTTAGCTGATAAATTGAATGTTTTTTTCTATGTGGTCGTGATACATAAAATTAACAAATAAGCTTTGAAATTTTCTTTGAAAGCTATTTTTAAGTGATTTCTGAAACTTGTTACTTTTGAGTGGATTATTCACATGGTAATTTTTAAAAAGTTTCTACTGTCAGAGTTCAGTCATTATATAGCAATATAGTGAATCCCACATTCTCATCATCTTGATTTAGTAGTTTCTACACTTGTTTCATCTGTTCATTTTTTCATCATTGTGTTTTGAAGCACATCCTTGACATCATGTCATGTCATCTCAAACATCATCATAATATCTTTAAAATAATGACATTTTCTTATCAAACCATAATATGATTATCATACCCATCAAATTTGACAGTGATTTCTTAATGTCATTGAATACCCAATCCATCTTCAAATTTCTCCAGTTGTCTCAAAAAAAATGTATTTTAAGAGTTGAGTTGTTCAAAATAGGATCTTCTCAAGGGCCATAGATAGTATTTGGTTGTTATTTCTCCTAAGACTGTTAATCTGAGGTAGTCCTCTCCATCTTCACCCTCATTTCCACTGACTTAATGAAGAAACCTAGTTATTTTGAGAAAAAGTCCTTAAGTCTCGATTGGTGTGGCTGTTCTTTGTAGTGTCATCTTAACCTGTTTCTCCATCCATTGGCATTTTTTATGTAAACCGGAATTTAGCTCCAAAAGC